GTACCCGATCAAATAGAATATGAAATTTGTAGTATTAGGAAGCGACTCCTAGGTCGTCTCTCAAGGAGAAACAATGTCAATTTGAGGTTCGTGTGATACAACCAACAAAGATTATTACAATCTAGCCTTCCATGGAGGAAGACAAAGAAGAAAAACGAAAAGAGAAATGGAAGAACTACAGAGAATAAGCTACAACAAAAGCAAGCACAAATGCAATACAAAAATGGTGTTTTTCTCTATCTCATTTTTGAACCAAAAGGGGGTGGCGGCTGTGTATCTCATGTCCCCTCCAAGTCTGACCTAATATTGATGCCTAGTGTGCATCTTGTATCCCTACGAGTTTGAGTGCACTGGGTTAAGAGAGTGGGCTGGCCTAGTTGGCCCATCCAACAACAAAAAAATGAGATTACAAATAAAATTAAAATTGTGCTGAAATCGGTCCACATGGTAGACCCATGTGGCAGTGCTCCCAGTCCAATAAGTGATTCCAAATTCCCTGCAAAATAATTATGAAATTAATTAGGCTAATAAATCCAATTAACTGAAATTCTGAATTAATAGCCCAATAAACCTCAAGACAGTAAAATATGGCAAGAGAAAACAATTAAGCACTGATAATACTCAATAGGGGGTTACAGAGGTAAGAAAATTCACAAAAAATATGATTTATCACTAAACAAATCAGATAGTGAATTCTTAACAAATCTCAATTCTTCTCTTCTAAGAATGTAGCGATGATGATGATCTCTCTCAAAGCATTTCACAAAATGTTTTTCTTCTTGGTTTCACAAAGAAAACACTCCAAGAAGGTCACAAAGACTTAACAAAATTAGTAGAATACTGTCTTCTGTTCTCTGTTCTTCCTTTTTTTTGTTTCAAAGTGTGAAAACTATTTATAAAGTTTTTCAGACCTAGATAATCGATTATTTTTAAGGATAATCAATTATTTTGTTCTTCATGAATTCTAAAAATCACTCAAGAACAAAATAATCAATTATTTTGCAGGATAATCGATTATTCCAGAGAGTACTTCCTGGAATAATCGATTATTTCACAGATAATCGATTATTACAACAAGGTTCTCTGAACCTCTTGCTGGAATAATAGATTATAGTTAGTAATAATTGATTATTTTGAGTTAGTTTTCAAAAATTCGATTTCACACTTTAGAAAACTTTCTAAGTTATTTGAATCATCATCATACTCACTGTTAGTCAATTTAGATTAAGATTAACTCATGCACAAAGCATACACATGCAAAATAGACTCAATAAGGCTCAACATATAAGAACATATAAACTACTCCTATTACATATTGTATTATTTCATGATCTTCATGTCTTCCTTTCTTAATTAGCTTGTGTCCTTTGTTTTCATCAAAACTCTAAAAAATTTAGAGCTGAGTTTGATTCATCATCCATGAATCTCAACATGCTGAACATTCAGAGCGAGCTTTTTGGTAGATGGCTCTTTTTCCATTAGTTCATATTTAATGGTCAAGGGATGACTTTGCTTTGAAGGAAAGAGACGGGTTATGCCTATTTTTCGTTGTGTGATTATTAAGAACTCTCTTGCATTAGGGCTGGCAAAGAAGGATGAAGTGTTAATCTTCACATACTGGATGATCTAAGAAAAGAGCATCTCATAAGGTATTAGGCCTCTCTTGATCCTCTCATGGTCACGTTGTGAGAGGTAAGCCTTCCAATGGTTGTAGACCAGCTTCGATAGATTAATCTTGCTTCCCAACATAAGATAGTAGAGGCAGAAGTGATCTTCATAAGATATGTGGTCTCTAGAGCCTAACCTTAGCAAAATGGTGTTGAGCAATAAGTGATGGAACATCCTGCTTAGTGGAGTCAGGTTTGCTTGTCGGAGGAATTTCTTCAAGGCGTTTCTTTTTTATGGTCTTGGGCTATTAGAGTAGATAAGTGCATCAACTATATCCTGGGTGATAGTGGCCTCCCAATCACCCTTATAGACTTTTCCTTCCTCCTTACAACTAGAGATTGTTGCAATAGTCAAAGGATTGATGTGGGTGGTGGATTAGTCTACTCGGTTGTGATGGAGTTTGGCTCTTGGATGGTAGATGCCCTAAAAATGGTGTGAGGAGCGTGGTGTTAGTTGCGCTTCAACTCAACGAATGAGGTCCACCCTGCTTGGTCAAGATAGGTCTTCATAGGGTAACCCTCATCTTGCATCTTATACAAAACAATGGTCTTACTAGGTAAGAATGCAGATTCTGGGTACTCCTCCAAAGGTACCTTGTGGCTAGATGGAGTAGCTTTAGGTGCCATTGGTGATTTGAGAAATTAGGGTTTGTATTTGCAAAGAGAAATTTGGGGAAAAAGATGAACAAATACATATGGAAGTTCTTTTGAGAGAGTAAGAGAGTGGAGGGAAAGACGATTATGTTTTGTTGGTAATGGGAGATCGGGTCTATGCAAGCGTGGTTGGTAGAATGAGGGGATAAGAGGTAGGTACTAACATGATGTGCCTCTATCATTTCCACTATTTAACGCGTTACTTTCCCGAAAGCCAAAGAATCTCATGATTCTTTACATTAATGAGCTTTAAAAGCACTTGAAACTCTATCGAAAACTCAGAGGATAGGTTAACGTAGATATTAGGTCAAATTAATGAGATGACACGTAAGTATAAGATGATGTGTGTCAGATGATACATATTGCAATGTAAGATGATGTAAAGTGAGATGATGCATATAATGGTCAATTTGACATACATTTTAAATGCAAATGATTTCTAATGAATCTAAAACATTCTTCAACTAAAGCCTTTGTAAAGATATCAACCCATTGATGATTAGTGTCAATAAATTTTGCATCAAAAACTCCTTTTTACTCATAGTCACAAATAAAATGATATCTTATCTCAATGTGCTTTGCTTTGGAATGTTGTATAGGATTTTTAGATAAATTAGTAGCACTAGTGTTTTCATAGAATATAGGTATATTATGTTTAAGACTAGCCTAGTTTTCAAGTTGATACTTGACCCATAAGAGTTGTGAGCAACATCCAGTTATTGAGATATACTCTACCTCTACAGTAGAAAAAGCTATGGTGTTCTATATCTTGTTTGCCCAAGAGATAAGGCAATTTCCTAAGAACTAACAAGCTCTACTTTTACTCTTTATCTCAATCTTATCTCTAGCATAGTCAACATCACAAAATCCTTCTAACTTGAAATTATTATTCTTTTCATAGAACATATAAAGGTTAGTAGAACTTGCAAGGTATTTAAATATTCATTTGATAGCTTTTAGATGTGACTCTCTTGGATTAGATTGAAACCCATCATAGAGACAAACATTGAACATGATATTAGATCTACTTGCATTTAGGTAGAGTAAGGATTCGATCATACCTCTGTAGATCATCTTATTTACTTGTTTACCAGATTCATCTTTTGATAGACTTATAAACAAACGCATAGGTGTGGGCATTAGATTGCAACCATTCATTCCAAAATTTCAAAGAAGTTATTTAGTATATTTTTGCTAATGAATGAAGATGCCTTCGTTTGTTTGCTTGATTTGAAGTCCTAAGAAGAACTTTAGTTCCCCGATCATGCTCATCTCAAATTCTATCTACATTAACTTAGAAAAATCCTTACATAGAGATTCATTAGTAACACCAAAATTTACATTATTTACATATATTTGAATTACAATGAAATCTGTCCTAAACTCTTTTCTAAAGAGGACCGTGTCTACTTTACCTCTCATAAAATCATTTCTAAGTAAAAGATACTTAGTTTTTCATACCAAGCTCTAGGATATTTTTTCAGACCATAAAGAACCTTGCTGAGTTTGAAAATATATTCTTTAAAATTAGGATTTTTAAAACCCAGAGGTTGCTTAACATGCACTTCCTCCATTGAATTTAACTCGGTGAATTGGAATGAATATGGAAAGGTTTGCAACACTGAATAGATAAGAAATGTTCATCTGTAATTGATAAGAAATGTTCATCTGTAATTGATAAGAAATGTTCATCTGTATGCTTCTAGCCATTTGAATTTGTTAATTATGCAAAGAAATGATCTGGTAACCAATCTTCAGGTTCTTTCAGAAAAAATGTCTTTGTTTTTACTTTTAAACAGTGATTTTGCCATTTCCCTTGGTTTTCTGCAATGATTCCATTAAGCAACTGTGCAATTTACAGAGAAATGCAGAGAGAATTAAGTTGTAATGTGTATACAGGTTTACAGGTTGGTGGAAGTTGTAATATTTGAGCCGTAGGATGAAAAGCCATTGAATTTAACTCGGTGAATTGGAATGAATATGGAAAGGTTTGCAACACTGAATAGATAAGAAATGTTCATCTGTAATTGATAAGAAATGTTCATCTGTAATTGATAAGAAATGTTCATCTGTATGCTTCTAGTAAGATCACATAATTCGAATACTATTGAATATTATACGAATCTCTCAGTGGGTGTTTGGTTTATTTTTCATCTTATCATAATTAGTTGATAGTACCTTTTATTATAATTATAGCCACTTTGTTTTCAGGGTAGTATTTTCACCATATACTGCAAAATTCTGAAAGAAGAAAATAGAATAATCTAAGGTGGCTTCTTTTGGTATTATATAATTTAAAAACATGAATGGAATAAATAAATAACCAAAAGTACCCTCAATTTTTTTGGGTCTTGCATCAGGTAATGATCCTTGTTGGTCAACTTGTAACTGATGGTTTGTGCTGTTTGTTGTTGCACTGAAACCCACCTCATAAATGGGCAGTTAATTACTTTTCTGGGTTGGGATTTTACTTTTCTTGACTATTACCACTGACAAATGTCCAAAGGAAATATGAAAGGCTAGACTATTGTATTGTATATACCTGTATAGCATGATGGACTTGTGAATGTAATAACTGCTACATACAATACATGTATGCAAATTACAGAGTACCATGTGAACCTAACATTGAAGATTTGTGTTTATTATATTCACACTGAATCATTTCATGCTGGCTGCTGTGTGTGGGTGGGTTGAATTTTGATTTGCTGGGCGGTGTATGATTCTGTTTATTGAGAAATGCAACCCCAGCTGAGCTCGAGAATCAATTTGGCCGAATTGAAAGCGCAGATTGTGAAGAGAATTGGAACGGATAAGTCTAAGCGGTACTTTTATTACTTGAACCGTTTTCTGAGTCAGAAGCTGAGCAAGACTGAATTCAACAGGTCATGTTATAGGGTGCTTGGCAGGGAGAATATTCCATTACACAATCACTTTATAACGTCAATTTTGAAGAATGCCTACCAAGCCAAGACCCCACCACCGCCAGCCCAGTTGACAGGTCCTCCCAAATTAGGAGCACTTGCCAATAATGTATCTCCTGGAAGAGAGGATGGACATGAACAGAGTGTCACTAACTTCCAAACTCCGAATGCTTCCATTTGGTCCAATGGGGTTTTGCCAGTTTCCCCACGTAAGTTAAGGTCTGGAGTGCATCGCAAGCTTAAAGATAGGCCAAGCCCCCTTGGACCAAATGGAAAAGTTGATTCAGTTGCTCATCAATCCACAGCTACAGAAGATAGTGGTAGTAAGGTTGATATGGAGAATGGAATTCGTACTCCATGTGATTATCAGAGATCTATGCAGCATCTTCAGGCAGTTGATGAGCTACCTGAGAATGGTATGGGGGATGTTATTCAAATACCTGCACAAAAACCAAGAATACATGGCAAGGGGCCAACTGCAGTATCAATTGTTGAAGATGGGGAAGAGGTGGAGCAGTTAAACCGCCTCAATTTCTCTAGAAGTCCCTTGATAGCACCGCTTGGGATCCCTTATTGCACTGCAAGTGTTGGTGGGGCCCGCAAAGCATTGCCAGTGAATAGCACTGGTGATTTTATTAGTTGTTGTGACAATGGTAGGTTATCTGATACAGATACATTGAGAAAGCGCATGGAGCAGATCGCTACAGTGCAGGGTCTAGGAAGTGTTTCTATGGAATGTGCAAATACATTGAATAATGTTTTAGATGTTTACTTGAAACGGTTGATCAGATCTTGTATTGATTTAGTGGGAGCTAGGTCTCCAAATGAGCCAAGGAAACAACCTGTCTCGAAACAGCAGATTCAGGGGAAAGTCATTAATGGTGTCTGGCCAAATAATCCTTTACATGTGCAGAGTGCTTGTGGGATGGCAGAACCCGAGCCTGAGCACAGATCACCAGTCTCGGTATCTTTACGTGATTTTAAGGTTGCTATGGAGCTAAATCCACAGCAACTTGGAGAAGATTGGCCGCTACAGTTGGAGAAAATTTCTATGCAATCATTTGAGGAATAACACATCTTTGAAGATTTTTTAAGAAAATATTGGGTCTTCTTCTTCTGGTTCTGATGGCTCGGCAATGGTTGGTGATCATTGGCACACTTAACTCTGTTCTTATTGCCAGGATTAACCAGATGACGCCCCAAATGTCTTATCTCTGCTATTTGCAGGGTTAGGATGATTCGGAGATTCATTTATCTGCAACCAAGGGTAGTACCAAATGAGGCCCAGGATTGGTTGCACTGTTGTATGTTTAGCATTGGTGTTGGCTGTATTTATCATTGCTAGAGATCTTAAGGCTTTTTGCTTGCTTTGCAGCCAATGAGAAAGAAGACTCGGAAAGTTTTGCAGGGACACTGTTGCGTAGCTGGGATCAAGGGACTAAGACATGTATAAGAACCGAAGGGTTGCTCTGTATGTATTTTTAGAATATGAGGATTGATTGAATTCAATATTAATAACATGTCAATTAAATTTTCCTTCGATGCTTTAACTCCATGACTCCGAATTTCACCATTACCTGTAGTTATTTTGTTTTCTATTTTATTCATGATGTCAACCTATAACTCGCATCACTTTTTAGTTCAAATTAATTTTGGTGACAATAAATGAATTTCTAATCATGTTAGACTTTTAAATTTTGACATCAATTAATATTCAGAGTCTTTTTTGTACGAATGATTATTGAGATATTTTGTCTCTGTCAGATTTGAGTAGTTTTATGACATGGCATCTGATATCAGGAATTATTTTATAGTTTATGAATTATAAGCCTAATGTCTTTGAAAATTTAATAGAACAACTTGGAGGGAATGTTGGATGCATATAACCACGATCTTGCTAATCATCTTATAACTGTTAAACAGTGTTCCAGAGTACATAGTGACTGGTGAGTTTGTTAGTTACTTAGTTACTTGTTCAAAGTCTGACAAATTGATACTAGTTACCTCCAAATGGCTTGTTGTTTATGTTTCTCATGTATGGACTGGGGGTACAGGAAGATGGTTAAAATTTTGAATCTCAACCATTTGAATTTGTTAATTATGCAAAGAAATGATCTGGTAACCAATCTTCAGGTTCTTTCAGAAAAAATGTCTTTGTTTTTACTTTTAAACAGTGATTTTGCCATTTCCCTTGGTTTTCTGCAATGATTCCATTAAGCAACTGTGCAATTTACAGAGAAATGCAGAGAGAATTAAGTTGTAATGTGTATACAGGTTTACAGGTTGGTGGAAGTTGTAATATTTGAGCCGTAGGATGAAAAGCCATTGAATTTAACTCGGTGAATTGGAATGAATATGGAAAGGTTTGCAACACTGAATAGATAAGAAATGTTCATCTGTAATTGATAAGAAATGTTCATCTGTAATTGATAAGAAATGTTCATCTGTATGCTTCTAGTAAGATCACATAATTCGAATACTATTGAATATTATACGAATCTCTCGGGTTTCACATGAAGTACCATGGATGGTCCTCCATCAATTTATTCCATTTAAAAAGTGTTCTTTACATCAATTTGAAAAAAATGTGTTTTTGTGAGCGACAAAGGCTAACATGATCCTAATAGCTTCAAGTATAGCAATAGGAACAAAGGTTTCAGTGAAATCAATACCTTCTTGTTAATTATAGTCTTGAGCTACCAATCTAGCCTTATTCCTTACCATTTTACCTTATTCGTTCAGTTTGTTTCTGAATACCCATCTAGTTCTAATTATGGTTTTGTGTTTAGACTTTGGTACTTGGGCCCAGACGTTATTTCTTTCGAATTAATGGAGCTCCTCCTCCATGGAAATGATCCAGTCATTATCTCTTAATGCTTCGTCTATGTTCTTTGGTTTTGTTTCATAAACCAAAGCACATGATGCAATATCTTCGAGAGCATATCTGGTCTTGATTCCTTCAGTCTTATCTCCTAAGATATGATCTTCAGGATGATAGTTGATGAAATTCCAGTCTCTCTAAGGTTTGGTGGATTTGTTTGATTAATTTGTCTATTCTTCAGAAGAGTCCATCATTTGGTTTGTAGCGTTTGGTTCTTTCATTTGATCTTCTCCAATTTGTAAATACACAAAATCTTCTTCTAGATATGATAGTTTCCTATTAGTATTCCATGCATCATTAAACTTTACATGGATAGATTATTCTACTATAGAGGTTCTAGAGTTGTAAACTTTATAAGCCTTTAATGTGTATGAATATCCAAGGAAGGTACCCTCGTCTACTTTGGAATTAAACTTTCCAAGTTGATCCTTAGTATTTAGGATATAATATTCACATCCAAAAGGATGAAAATATGATATGTTGGGTCTTCTTCCTCTCCGCAATTCATAGGGAGTCTTGTTTAGTAATGGTCTTATCAATATTCTGTTTTGAATGTAAGACATTGTGTTCACTACTTTTGCCCAAAAGTGTTTTGGTAAATTATTTTTGCAAATGAGAGTTCTTGCCATTTCTTGTAAAGTCTGGTTCTTTCTTTTAACTATCCTTTTTTGTTAAGGTGTTATTGGTGAGGAGAAGTTGTGAAAGATACCATGTTTTTTACAAAAGCTTTTGAAATTAAAATTTTCAAATTCAGTTCCATGATCATTTCTGAAGGAAACAATAAAAAATCCTTTTTTAATTTGAATACATTTATAGAATGTTTCAAAGACCTTAAATGACTCATGTTTGTGGCCTAGGAAATATACCCATGTATATATAGAATTGTCATCTATAATGACAAATCCATATTTTTTACCTCCTAGACTAAGTGTCCTAGTTGGACCAAACAAATCCATATGCAATAATTCTAGTGGTCTAGAAGTGGAAACAGTTTTCACGAATTTGAAAGATGTTTTAATCTATTTCCCTTTCTAACATGATTCACAGAGAAGATGTGTTTTCCAAGAATTTTCAGGCAGTCCTTTTACCAAACTCTTTTTGGTTATTTTTTAAATGTGTTTCATATTGATATGCCTAAGCTTTTTGTGCCAAATCCATTTGTCATTTTCTATGGATACTAGACATGTTTTATTCTATTTGCTTAAACTATTCAAATTGATCTCACATAGATTATTCTTTCTCTAAGCAGTAAAATTATAGATTTATCATCTTGCTTGGCTATGCATGCATCTTGTCAAAGACTATTGTATACCCACTATCACAAAATTGACTTATGCTAAATAGGTTATACTTTAGGCTTTCAACATATAAGACATTATTTATAGCAGGTATAAAGTCTTTGTCTATCTTACCTATAACTTTGATTTTTCCTTTTCCACTTTCAAAGAAAATTGATCCTTCATGTAGTTGGAGGTCTAAGAACATAGACCTTTCTCTCATCATGTGTCGTGAGCATCCACTATCCAGGTACTAATGTGAATCCTTTCTTCTTCCTATTAAGGATATTTACAATAAAGATTATTTGACATTTTGGTACCCATGCCCTTGGTCTTATTCTTTTATTTTCCTAGAGCTATATCTTCATTTCCACTAGCTTTATGAGGAGAGACATCGAGTTTGGCTTAAGATATCCCTAAACTACAATCAAAGTTAAAACCACTTTTGTCAGACAAAAACCTTCTATGCTTTAGAAACATGTCTAACATAGAAGATCTATCAACAAACTTGGGTAACCCTTTCCTGAGTTGTAGGTTTTCAGCTTCTAATGTTGTAACCTCAATTAGGACAAAGCTAGTGATCTTATCTTTGAAAGGCTTTATCTCTCCTACAATGTTTGACATTTTCTCCTTGAGTTCAAGATTTTCTTTTTCTAGGATCTTTTGTTTTTCTTTCAGTTTCTTATATTCAAGAGAGATTACTATGCATATTATCTATTCATGATTATTCATATTTGTTCATTGAGAGCAGTATTCCTCTTATCATTGAGCACTTATTTCTTTACTTGATTGAATTATTCACTTCACTTATGGTTAGTTTGGGAGAGTGAGAGGAGTCGAAAATAATGAAAGAAAATATGTGATAATTGATTTCATAATGAAATAAGTAAAATTTTTAGTATACTAGCATAATAGAATTAAGTAAAACATAGAAATAATTTGATAATTTAAATTTGTATTTTATATTAATTAGATTTTTATGTAAAGTTAAATAATACATATAATTGCCATTTTTTCATTCTCTTTATTTTCATGTACAAAAGTTAAATTATATATATATATATATATATATATATATATATATAT